AAAAAAAAGAATAACCCTAATGAACAGCACTCCCCAGCCTCCCCACAACCACCAGCGAGAAGCAACAATGGAAGACCTTGTCTAGATCCACAAGTACCTGTCGACATGAAGCTTCTGAGACCTGTGGACATCCACATGACAAACGCTGGTGAGGTGCCTGGGGACACGCAGGAGTGTAGACAAGAGACATACCTAGCCATGCATGAGAGACACTGTGAAGTCGGCCTCCAGGACGGCCCCCGGCCCCACCTCCAGGCACATCCCGTAAAACCATGTCCAACTGCACAGGGCTGATCACGGCCCCCGAGGCTGCTCACAGAGGTGCTGGCCCATCGGCCCCACTCTCTCAGGGAAATAGGCTCCACGTCGCACCAGAGTCCACGTGACAAGGAGCCAAGGACCCAGCAATGACTGGACACACCACCTCACAGTTGCCTCCCACCCATCAGGTCACATACCCAGCCAGCCTGCGCCAAACCCAACCCAGAGACAGAGACCTCACTGTGTGGCCTCAGGGGACAAAGTGCTGGCTACAGAGAGCCAGGCTCAGAAGGCACGTGAACAGGTGTGTCTAGACTCCACAGAAGGTGGTTCTAAGAGACACATGGGCATCAACAGGGAAAGGAACAGGCTGAAGAGTCAGGAGACCCTTCAACATGAAAATCCACAGACGAACGTGAGAGGCGGAGCTCTGCCCCAAATGGCCTCCCACATACCACCCCTCCCACGGAGTGAGACTCATATGCTGAACGTGATGAGACACGTCACTCCCATGACTATGCCTGTGACGTGGCAAATGGGTTTGTGGCCATGAGACGGCTCCAGTCAGCTGACTTAAGGTGGTAGGCCTGACACAATCACAGAGCCCCTAAAAGGCGCTGGGCTCTCTCTGATCACAGAGAGTAGAGTGGGTGAGGCTCACGGCCAGGCAGCAGGCACCTCCAGGAGTCCAAGGGTGACACCACGGAGCACCAGAGAGGAGTAAAGTCCATGATGGCTGATGTGCTCAGTGCAGAGCCCCTGAACCTCTAGAGGGGGGCTTCCAGTCTCACGAGACACTGAGCAGATGAGACCCTGACAAGCTCAAGCAGGGCTCCCTGCAGCTGCAAGAGCAGGTCCGGCCAGGCTGCCCAGGCGGGCACGTTTTCACCACGTCCTCAGGGAACCAACACAAGGAAACTCCTCTCATCCCTGTTTCACAACTGAGCCAGTGCCTGAGCAGGGAGCGAACAGGAGTGAGTCACGCAAGATCCAGGAGCGTGCTCCCGTCAGATAAACACACGGGGCCACCAATGCTTCTCACCTGACACTGAGACCAAGGCCTACAACCGTCTACCCACACAACCCACTGCTGGTGAATCGATCCTAACTCACGCACCCTCAGAGGACACAGTGGAACTGTCCCCCGGGTTTTCCCAGGCTGTCAGTTTTCATGGATGCAGACTGCATCATCTTTCTCCACGGAGCAGCTGGTGGCTTCAACCACCGGCCTTTTGGTTAGCAGTGGAATGCTTTAACCACAGTGCCACCAGAGCACTCGCAATGAGGGAAAGATGGGCTTACAGTTCCTGACAGATCAGACGCCCATATGTGTGGAAATAAGACATCTATGCAGTAGCACGGAGCACCCCACAGTGCTGGGAAACAGGCGTTTTAAACAGGAGTGGTGATTCGGCAGCAGCCACTGAAGAACACCGGTCACCAAAGGATGCCACCGAGACAACGGAAAGACCTCTGAGGACACCTCTCAGTGACGTGGAAGCTGTGTGCAGGACGCAGAAAGAACACCTGCAACCAGGGACAGAGAAGCCCGGCATGACAGTGGGCCAGACGCTGACGAGGGAGTGAGCAAACAGGAGCTCTGGGACAGCCATCAGACAAAGAGAGCTGTGTCCTCCATGATGTGGGCCGTGCAGCTTGGCGCGCCCACTGTGCTGGGAAAGTGGGTGTGTGCTCTTCCTCCTGCCCGTGCGCCGGGAGGCGCTGGACGGACAGCGGCTCTCCCCTCACACCCGTCCTCACGCACTGGTACTTCTCTCTGACACACATTTCTGAAACGGTATCATTCAAGACCTCGTGAGGGCAATTTTCGACAAGGTATGACAGCCTACCTTCTTTGGCTAAATCAGATAGCTCTGTCTGGTGATCCACCATGCCTTCATTTGCTTCTTCCTCTTCAATTGTCTCCTCTTCATCTTCCACTAAAACAGTTACCATCAAACATCAATAAAAAACACAGTGGCGTGTGTGTGCTGCCAATACCTGGCAGCCTATACCGGGCCACCAGGCCTGTGTCCCACTCCGTCCAGAGAAGACCCCTGGCCTGACGTCCCAGCACTTCCCTCACAGACAGCGCCTGCCTGGCCCTGCGGCCAAACGCACGGTCACCGTGCTGCTCCTGAGATGCTCCTGCCTTTCTACCCTCCCACACCCCACACGCAGGTCCCACGGGGCAGCTCAGGAACACCCAGGTGTCGTGCAGACACTGCCAGAGACCACGTGGTCCAGCTCAGCCTGGGCCCCTCCACACCCGCACGGGGGTCTGAGCAAGTTCACAGAGCCCACAGGCAGGAGTGGCGGCCTGGGGGGCAAGGCGTGCAGGAGGGACGCGAGTTCTCAGAGCCACAGGTGGGAGCACAGACTGGCAAGGGAAGCAGACCTTCATCATCAGTTAGTGACGTGCTGGCTTTTCTTTTTCTTCCCGATAGTCCTAAATCCTGGAACAAAGAGAACGTGTCACAGACACGCGCTCTGGAAGCAGGACCTGTCCAGCTCCCTCGTCCGACTCGCCACGAACACCTGGACAGCCAGGAAACGGCCCTGACTTGGAGGACGCCAAAGGGAGAATCTGTGTGGTGTTTTCTCAATCAAAGCATGCATCAGATGCCATGCCCTTGTTTTATACACCCCGTACCTTAAAATCCTGTCATGGACTCTCTGCCTAGGGTGCAATCACAAGGACAGCAGGTGTCTGGGTGCAGGCCACCAAGCTGCCACTGTCCTTGCAGGAAGTTCTTACTCATAGATGGGGAAACGTCACATCCACCCCCACCCCAGACATCCAAAAGAGCTACAGCTGGCACACACCAGTCTCTGCTCTTCCAAGTGACAGGGAACAGCGTCACAGTCCCGTGTTTCTCCCGAGAACGGGCAAGCCCACTGAGCAGAGTGCTGTGGCTGCCACCCTGGGCCGTCTCCACCTAAACTTCCGAATGCAGCAGCAGCAGCACATACCTGGAATGGTTCTGCTGCAATGTCGCGTCCTGAGGGCCTCGGCTCTTTTCCTGAGGAGACAAGTGACTGACTGGTTCCACCCAGAGCTGCCAGGGCAGGAAGAGCCTCCCCTGTGCCCGTCCCCATCCTACAGGCACCTCTGCCCACAAGCAGAGACCCTGGGGCCACGCTGCCCTTCCTTCCAGTACCCAGGGGCACAAGGTGCGAGGCCTGACCTGTGGGCCCACACGGTTCGCTGGCAGGCCCTCACTTTCAGCTCTAACTCTTCTGCAGGGACCCAGAAGTCTTCCTGGCGGACTGAGGCAGGGTGGGTGACGACGCGGTCTACTTTCACCATGTTTATTATCTTACAGTCTATAAGGTTCCATAGTGGCCCTGCAGCCCGTTTTCTCATCAGTAAAGCGGGCACTGCAAGCCCACCCCTCGAGCCTCTGCTGCACCTGGCACCATCAAGGCACTAGAGGGACCTTTTAAAGAACAGTGCCACAAGGGCCAATCCCAGCCACCCACTCAGAGACTCCATGGGATGAAGCAACCAGCAGTGCACCTCACGGTCCTGTCATAGCCGTGGACAGATTTAAACCTCATGTGACAATGTCCGGTGCTGACGGAGACAGGGAGGGGGCTGGCTCTCACGAGAGCTGAACTACCAAACCAGAATGGCCGTGTGCTTACTGCAGTTGTCAGACCAGACGTCCACGGACACCACGGGTCAGGAGAAGCCTCGTGAAGTTCTGCCAGAGGCCTGCCCTGCCGTTACGCAGACCTGTAGTGCTGGCCTGACCAGAGCCCCCACCTGTGGGCACCCACCACCACGCAGGCCCTCAGCTGGCACGAATCCCTGCGTGGATCATCCTACTCCAGGTTGTCACTTACAAGTCCAACCGTTCCCTGCAGCATCAATGGGCCAACGTTGGCTCCATGGGGCTGACGCGCAGAAGATAACATCTTGTTCTTTCTCAGCTCTCAGAATTGGCAGAGAACACAACACACTGCTGATAGTTACTTAAACACTTTTTAAATAAACAACTTACAAACCTCCAGGAACACAGTTCGGAAAACTACTACATGACGCAACAATTGGTCTCTCCTCGTCTGGAGCAAAGAATGAAGAAAACCCAAGTGCACGGAAACAATTGGTCCAAGGGACCAGCGGACCATGCAAACCACAGCCTCCATGACCCTGAGACCAGAACTAGATGGTGCCCGGCTACCACTGTCCACCACTAGGAAAGCGGTCAGAATAGGAGATCCTGGATAGAGTGGGAGAAAAATGTGGAACAAAACTCAAAATCATTTTAAAAAAGCAGGCTTGCTGGTCTGACAGAAAGTGGTAAAACCCCTACGAGTATGGCCCCTAGCCACTCTTTGGGCCTAGAACAGAACTCAGTCCCATGGCTTCCAGCCACGCAACAGGCAGGTGTATATTGTTTGGGAGATCAGAAGGGCAGTGTATGCACAGAGAAATAGTGGGGGAGGGGGTGCAAGGACCCAGGGAAGAGGTGACAACAGGGAGGAAGTGGAAGGGAGCTGTTACACTGTGGGGAGCTGCAGTCAATGTCATGAAACAAAATGTGTGTGAACTGCTATATGGAAAAGGAATTTGCTCTGTCAACTTTCACCCAAACCACTATTTAAAAAAAAGAATAAACAAAATTATAAAAAGACTATATATAAGAAACAATTTTTATACTGACCACATGTTGAAATAATATTTTGGATACATCAGGTTAAAGACAATAAATCATTCAAGTTAAAAAAGTAAGAAAAAAGGAAATGAAATCAGCAATATGGAAGAAAACAAAGTAGCCTGCCTCAACAGCTGAGAGCCTGGATCTGACCCAGACGGGCCAGTGCTGCGTCAGACGCCCTGCAGCAGCCAGACGAGGAAACACAGGGAGCCAGAGTCTGAAAGGCAAACGCACCCGAAAACGGACGGCAGCTTTAAAGTTTGCTCTCTTTTCCTTCCTTGGAGATTTGCTCATATAAAGCACTCACAAAGAGCGCTAACCACTTTACAGCAGGCTTACTCCCACCGAAAGCCCAGCACTAAGAACCAGGGACTGGGAAATGTCTCAAAGGAACCACGTGTCACTCCTGTTGCAAACGCTTCAATGCTACCCACTGACCACGTCAGGCCCTGCAGCCTCCTCCTCCTCCACCCTGACAACACCTGCGTACCCATCCAACGTCCTTGTCACACACTGTCACCATGGGACATCACAAAGAGAACAAATCCCAGCAGCCAATCTCAAAACTCCTATGATGGGGCTCCAACACCACCACAGCAGGGGCACACGGTCATGACATGAAAAACACAGGAGTAACACCACAAGGGACAGGGATGCCTTTGTTTTCTAAATATTATGATGCTTTGGGTTTTGGTTTTGTTTTTGTTTTGTTTTTAGCATCTTTGGGATTTTCTGGTGCCATAATGCCTAAGGCATTTGACTGCTAACCAGAAGGCTGGCAGTTCAAACCCACCAGCCACTCCTCGGAAGGCAAGTTGGGCAGTCTACTTCTGTAAGGATTTACCGCCTCAGAAACCCAAGGAGGGGTCGCTATGCGTCAGATCTGACTCGGCTGCAGCAAGTTTGGTTTTCTTTTGGGGGGTGGGTTTTCTAGATGTTTTTCTTTACGAGGAAGACATACAAAGTCTCTGTACAATATGAAGAACATCAAGGGTCTGGTTTTAAGTATCATACCTCGCCGAGAAATTCTCTGTAAATTTAAGGCTTTTTTCCTTTTTTCTTCTAGTTCTACTTGTAGTTTTATTTCCACAACCTAAATTTAAAAAATTTAAACAAATACATTATTGAGGATGTAAATTATACAAGTTCTGAATACTAAACACATTATCTCACACCACAGTCTAAAAACACAGTTGTCTCAACCTCATCTCAGAATTCCTTCAAAAAGAAATTTTCCACTTGCTGTTTTTATTTTTTATCTAGCTACATTCTGTCCAAATTCTGCAGCGATGAAAATGAGAAAGGGAGGTGATGGGGATGAGAGGGGAGGAGGGGCAGTGGAGAGGAGGAGGAGACTTGGGCTGAGGAGGTGAGGGGAGTGGCCTCTGGAGATGGCACCCACCCCAAGGAAGAGCCGCAGTGGCCCCGCACCAGTCCCCAGCATAACTCACCAGCCTGCTGGGTCCCGGCCTGACCCAGAGGCCACACCACACTCGCCCAAGACCCTCTCCAGTGCCCACAGCCCACCCTCACACGTGCACCTTCCAAAAACACAGCAGGCCTGCTCCCCTCCAAATTCCCCTCAGACCAATGAGCCAGGGCCAGCTCTGCAGCCAAGGCAGACTAGGGCTGCCCAAACCCAAGTGCACCCTGGAATCGTACCTGCTCAATGTTTGACCAAAAATACTCTATCTCCCTAGCAGTCAAGGCTGCAATGCGCCTCAGCCGGTTCTGCTCCTCCTTCCTCCCTCGCTCCTCACAAAGCTTCTTCTCCTCATGATGGCGCGCCACAGTTCGGACCAGCTGTGAACAAAAGGCCGAGGGAGGTATGCTGTGCTCTCTGTCCTGCTATGAAGAAGGGACCTGTAACATTCTCACCAATCTGCCCAGTAATGACAGCACGTGCTACGGTCTCTCCGATCTGCCCGGTAAAGCTACATTCTCACTTACCTGCCCAGCCCGTAATGACTCAATGCACTAAGTTCCCATCAATCGCCCAGCAATGACACCACACACTACATCCTCACCACTACCCAGCCCGTAATGATTCACCATGCTACATTCTACTGAACCCATAATGGCATCATGTGCTATGAGACCATCCCTTGTGTCCCCTGGACACACTAGGAGAACCACTGGTATGTTTGCCAGCTAAGACCAACGTCCACCCTGGCTTGGCTTTTCTAGAGACTATTATTGGACAGAATTATTACAGCACAGAGCTCTAGAAACCAGGGTATCACACCGTGTTACAATCTTCTCCATTAACACTGTTAGCATCTCTCCATTCAGTAAATTCATCGACGCACACCACCCTTTCTAGTCGGCTGCACAGTACTGCAGTACATGAAGGCAGCAATGCCTACTCCACTCTTAGGTATGAAAATTGTTGCCTGGAGGGAAGTTGCCTTTTCAAGGCTCTTGCTTTGAATTCCTCATTTTCCAGTAGCTTATGCCCTTCATGTTCCCACCACAACACTTAGTGAAGTTGAGACATAAATCACAAATGAGAACACGCTCAAAGCCTGACCAGCTGTGGCCCCAAACCTGAAAGTGGAACCCATGCCATGTGGGCACCATCCATCCCTCCCTCTCTCCTACCACCGTCACCATGGCCCCACGGAGCTCCTTTCCAGAGTGATCTGGGAGGCTACACCCCATCCACACCACAGCCTCCCCATCAAATGCCTATGCACCCCATGCACCTTCTTGGCGGCAGCCACCTTCCACCTGCGCTCCTGTGCAAAGTCAGTAGCCATCCACTGCATCTCCTCCAGCAGGGAGTCCCAGTGTGCACGCGGGCGCGGGGCTTCCTGCAGCTTGGGCAGTCGTCGTGGGGACCACAGGCCCTCCTTCCTCAGCTCTGCAATGCGCTGCTGCACCTGGTTCTCCTGCGAGGATGAGGGAGGTCAGCACACACCACCCACTGGGACAACCAACATCTGAAACCTGCCTTCACACACGTGAGGCACAGGGGGGCGTCCCTGAAGGGAGGACTGGTTCCAGTCTGGCTGTTAAAGGCACTGACATGAGAACAACAGAGCTGAGCATCTGCAGAAGGGATTTCACAGTTGTCAGCACAACTCAACACCTACGTTTGTTTTCTCACATTCCCCCCCACCCTGCCCACTGGCCTTCCAGACCTTAGATATAATGCAACAAGGACACAGCTTCATGCTGTGCCTGTTTCTAAATGAATCTTTTTTTGGAACAGGGACCAGGATGAAGTCTGCGTAGATCAAACGCATGTAGGGAGGCCAAGTGGGAAGTGCGTACTGGGGGAAGGGCGAACCTGCGCGCTGAGCGGCACGGTGAGAGCCCAGAGTTGCCCCTCTCCACCTCCTTCTGGCTGACCACACCGCAGGGCAGCACAGCAGGCCTGCTGGTCCACCCGGGTCCAGAGGTCCTCCACACTCAGGCAGCAAGTGAGACGAGCTCCCAGCAGCACGACATGCCCAGGCACCAACCCCAAAGCTCCTGAGAGCTAACTCCCAACTGCCAGCTTGACAGCTCCTCCGTGGGTCCATCCCCACCACGGAGCAGGCAACATACTCCAAACCGGCTCACCTAGAGAGCAGCACCGAGCTGAGCTCCCTCCTGGGGAAGTGGACTTGTTTAGTGGGCTTACCAGCGTTATCTGTTCTGCCAGCTTATCCTGAGAACCGTCCTGAGATGCGGTGGCATTCTGAGCAGGGCTCTGCACCTTGGTGGGGGCTGGAACAGCTGCACCCGGGGACCGGGATGTGACAGGTGACAGTGACTTGTTAGTTGCTGTGCAGGGTCTATTCACAGGTGAGGCCCGTGCAGGGAGCGGTCCAGGGCCCAAGCCACCCAGGGGGGTGAGGGAGGAGGTAGAAGTAGCAGTGGGCAGAGGTCGCTGGCAGGGCTGGGCAACATCCATGGGGGGCCTCGTCAGGGCCACGGTCTAGTGGATGACAAAAGAGGGAACTGGTAGTCTGCGGTCCCCAAGCACAGAGGAGACACCAAGAGAGGCGTGTGACAGCCACCTGCCTCTGCAGAACTGAATGCACAGAATAAATGACCCCTAAACCCCATCCACACAGGACACAAGTTCTAATGCTATGAACACAGGGCTCTTGCTATGAGCTGGTCATCACTATTCGGGGGTCTGTGTAAGTTTCCTCCTTGGACAGCAGCCCATGTTGCTCTTGTACTTCATTGCTGCAGGGCACACACACGCCTGCACACCTCCCTCATGGTTGGAGTCACACCTCTGTGACCCCCGACATCAGCACCTCGTCCCTGAAGGGTGCACACACGCCCGCACGCCTCCTCATGGTAGGGGTCACCATCTCTGTGCCTGCCTAAGATCAAGCAGAGCTTGTGCAACTCAAGGAAAGGAGCACCAAGCTCTTGCCTGAAAAGCCCCTGAAATGCTGAAAGAGGTTCTGCTGGATGGGCAAGAAGAGGAACAAGCGCCAAGGACAGGCTCTGCGAGGCACACCCCACGCACAACCCTCTAAGACAAGTGGGCCGGAGGCTTTCTGCACGTTCACGGTAACCTCCCTGACCCAGGAGTCACATGCCACAACAGCCGCCACAGGTTCCTCAAAAGTGTTTCGGTGGCACACAGCCACGCTGCTCATTCCCACACGTCTGTGGCTGCTTCCCACAGAATCAGCGCAACAGAACTGAACAGCCCGCAAAGTCTGGGACACTGACTCTGCCCTTCACCAAAACGGTGGACTGACTCTGCTCCACCCACGAAAAACAAGCTTCTACAGATCCAAAAAGCTCCTTCAACATCTTGTGCAAGAACTTAAAACAAAAATCATTTCCAACAGCTGACCCCACCAGTGGGCACTGCCACTGCACCAGCTCCAGCTGACAATGGAGTGGGATGCCACCCACTCCTATGCCATCTTCACAACCTGGTTTGCAGGCATCTAGGGTCACAGGCCCGGAGCAGCCTGAGTCCGAGGGCACTCTGGCCCGGAGCTCACTCCCACATGGTACTGGACACATGCTGGTGGGAACCACAGGGCTTCCACTGCCCTCAGCAAAGCAGGTTACCAGGCCTTTCTTCCTAGTGCATTTGAGGAAGCGCCACTGGAACCGGTGCACCAAGGGTGACCTGGTAGTATTTCAAATACCAGGGGCATCACTTCCAGCATAACAGCCAAACAAAAGCCCCCGAGCACAACAGGCTGACAGGTGGGCTGTGGCCTTTAAGCACTACAGGCAAATACACAAACGTAAGAAAAAACACAAAACTGCTTTCAATCAGTGTGCGGCTCAATGAGACAGTGCCTAAAATGGAGACTCCCGCCACAAGACTCTGAAGGAGGCAGCAGCCAAAAACGCTCACTCACCCTGGAGGGAAAAGCTCCACTCTCAAGTGGACACACTCGAGGATTAGACATGAGCCAACGGAAGGCTCCGGAATCACGTCTGGGCTCAAGTCAGAGATGGGCCACTTACCAGCTGTATGATCTTAAGATACAGTTTAACATATCTGGTCTCAGGTCATCTCACGTAAAACAGGGACAGTGAAGATCTGACCTCAGAGGACCGTAAAGTCAAAGGGGTGAAATGCCAACAAACCGTTCCCCACTGGTGCCCGACACCACAGAAGGGGTGAGCCTTTGGTAGCAACCAGGCTCTGCTGTCTAGTCTACCCTCATGTGGCTCAGATCACAGCCATGTTGTTGTTGTTGTTGTGTGCCGTCGAGTCAAACCCGACTCATAGCGACCCCTCCTTGGGTTTCCGAGGCAGTATCACTACGGAAGTAGGATTGCCCAACCTTCCTTCCGAGGAGTGGCTGGTGGGTTTGAACCGCCAGCCGTCTGGTTAGCAGGCAAGTGTCTTAGCCACTATGCTACCAGAGATCACAGCCATACGTGTCTAATAATCCTGCAGAATTTGAATGCAAAGCCTCCCTAGAACATTTACTTGCTAACAGTGGGGGCACGTGCGCTGAAATGAATGAGTTACTGACACTGCAGCTAGGAGAACTGTGCTCACTGTGCAGTCCTGGGCAGGCACAGCACTGCCCGGCCCTGTGCGCACCCCTCAACCCTGGGCAGGCACAGCACTGCCCGGCCCTGTGCGCACCCCTCAGCCCTGGGCAGATGGAATGGGGGAACAGACGTGGAAGCCCCCGTACTCAGAATGACAGCACCGGAAGTTCTGCTTTCTATTACTTTAATAAGGACAATCATTACCACAAAGCCAATAAACGGATGGTACCGCTGTTAGCTAACTGCTGTCACGGACGAAAGCAAAATAGAGAAGCTACAGACTGTGGTGGAGCACAGCACCCTTCCAACTGGGGACAGCAATCCTAACCAGCAATGTGTCCTCCCGTCTCCAGCTGTGTAGACAAATGTCCCCATGTACCTGAGGCTGAGCCGGAAGCTGGGACATCTGCACATGAGCCTTCCCAGGTGTCGGGACATGGAGGGCAGGGGGGGCTGGCTGCTGCAGGGGTGCAGGGAACTGACTGGACGGGGCCACGGGGACGGGAACAGAGGGCTGCTGCGTCTTCACAGGGATCTGTGACTCCATCATCGGCGGCTGTGGTGAGAACTGTAGTGCGGCTGGCGGGGCACCGCCAGGAGCACCCGCAGTGGGAGGCAGCCTAGTGGGGAGCTGCGGTGGCGGCGTGTGCAGGCTGGCAGCGTTCTGCACAGGCGGTCCCGTGGAGGAGTCGTACTGCTGCTGACTTGGCTTCTGCCCCGTGAGCTGAGTGGCCTGCGGAGTCGGGGGCATCCCTCCTGCAGACCCAGAGAAAACCCCCAAACCACTGACTCTGGAGTCTGCAGCAAGAAGCAACACATTTTTACGTCTGAATGCTCTGTCACAGACCCACCCGAGAAGCAATTCCCACAGTCAAACAGGACAGTACCCCAGGGGAATCTGAGCGCAACAGCTGACCCCTTACAAGAAGCCGGAAGGGCATGGTGTCAGCCTCTGCACGTCAGCACCAAGCCGAGCACGGTCCAAGCCCCACGGATACCCCCTTCCCAGCAGCAGCCACGGGGAGAGCACGGGAGATGAACTCGCAGTGAAGCAGGGTGACGAGGAGCCATGCGGCCCTGTTAAAGCTACAAGAGTGTCTGCAGGGCTTTCAATGCTGGAGGGACTGGGAGCCCCAGAGCCCTAGTGTCAGGGGCTCCACCTCGGCCAGAGTCTACTCCACTGCTGATTATTAGCTAGGAGGGCTCACTCTCACACTGGACTTACCTTGTGCCGTCGGCATTAACTGCTGCAGAGGAACACCTGCGCTCACCCCTGGGTGCTGGAAAACCATTCCTGGGTGACCCACTTCCATTCGAGGCCGCTTGGACTGCTCTAGAATAATGTTCAAAAAATAATGTCAAAATAAAACAACAGAGCAGGAGAGAAGCACATGCATGCATACATGCTTTAAAATCTGTCAACAAGGAGGCCATTCATGAACCCAAATCCAAAGGCCACAGAAGACACAGCTGGGAACTACAATTTCCTGTCGTTATACACGTGCTAACAGGAAAAGACAGCAGCCTTCCAAGGCAAAGGACAAGCAGCACCTGACAATCTGTGCCCACACGGGACAGACAAACAATCAACTCCTCAGAAATCTCTCACCAATTAGCATGGAGAACAGCCACCGCAGATGGAAAAAAGGAGCAAAGAACAGGGACAGTCAGTTCAGAAGATCAGATTCACCAATGGATAATAGGCATGAACAGACATGGTGCAACCTGGCTCAAAATGACCACACCCACTGCCACTGCATCAACTCCAACCCACAGCGCCCCTGGAGTGCAGAGTGGAACTGCCTCGAGTTTTCAAGGCCATCAATCTTCACAGAAGCAAAGCCCAAACCATATGCGCTGCCGAGTCCATTCAGACCCACAGCGCCCCTAGAGGACAGAGTGGAACTGCCTACAGGGTCTCCAAGGCTGTCAATCTTCATGAAGCAGAGCCCAAACCACACCTACTTCCTGGAGTCCATTCTGACCCACAGCGCCCCTAGAGGACAGAGTGGAACTGCCCACAGGGTCTCCAAAGCTGTCAGTCTTCATGGAAGCAGACTGTCTCATCTTTCTCCTGCAAGGCAGCTAGTAGGGCCAAGCCACCAACCTCTCAGTTAGCAGCCAAGTGCTTAACCACTCGCTACACCACTCCGTCACTGAAAATTAAAGAAATCCAAATCAAAACAAGATATACATTTTCCGCCACCAGATCAGCCAAGATAAAAAGAATGGTCACACTTAGAAGCTGGTAGAAGTGAGAGACTCAGAAGCTGTTGTGGGAGACAGGCTGCCCACAGGGCAGGGGCAGCACCAAGCTCACTGCACACACCCTACGGACCAGAAATGGCATTTCTACCAACCTCTGCCCTGGACAGACCGACAAACATGCAAAAAATATATGAGATTATTGAGGACGAGGAAGACATAGCAAGTGCATACAAGGTACAGACAACAAAGATGAACCCTTGTGCACATACAGTACTGCGCTGTCAGTGACAGCAAACACTGATCAATGGGCGGACAGATGGATGGACAGGCTGAAAAATGAGGTATATCCATGCAGGGGGGAGTGTGCCCATGACCATAAATAGGGTTGGCAGACAGTGTTTCTACAAGTGTACTTATATGTTCTGTAAGAATTCCCAAGTATATAGGAGAGCTAACAAGGGACAGGTTGTAGTCCCTTCTTGGGCACAGCCAGCTACCCGGAGGGAACGAGTAGTTGGATCTGTGGGTTCAGGACCATAGTTGCAGGGGACATCAAGCTCAACTGGCATAACATACTACACAAAAACATTGTTCCACGTTCTACTTTGGTGAGTATCAACTGGGATCTTAAAAGCTTACAAGCTGCCATCTACGTGCAACGATGGGTCTCTCCTCATCCAGAGCAAAGAAGAATGAAAAACACCAAAGATGCATGGAAACAATTAGTCCAAGTGACTGGTATACCATGCAACCCACAGCCTATATGACTATGAGACCAGAAGAACTAGATGGTGCCCGGCTACCGCTGTCAACCACTCAGAGGACGATCTATGTAGGAGATCCAGGATAGAGTGGGAGAACAATGTGGAACAAAACTCAAAATCATTTGGGAAAAAAAAAAGAGAGAGAGAGAGAGAGAGAGACCAGGTTTGCTGGTCTGATAGAGCCTGATGGAACCCCTGAGACTACGGCCCCTAATTGCCCTTCAGGTCTGGAATTGAACCCACTCCTGTACCTTCCAGCCAAACGAAAAACAGGCATATGAGCTGAATATTTACATTAGGTAGATACACTCCTTGGAGAGATCAATCACGGGAGAACAGAATGGCTGTGGATGCACAGGAAGACAGCTCAGGGGGCAGGAGACATGGAGAGAAGGACACACAGAAGAGGTGACTATGGGGAGGAAGTGGGAGGGGAGCTGATGCACTGTGGGAAATTACAGTAAATGTCATCAGACAAAGTGTATGCAAACTGCTGTATGGAAAGTGAATTTGCTCTGTAAACTTTCACCCAAATCACAATTAAATATATATATTAGTCTAGCTGTTCAATCCTGCAATGACTACAACAGAAAAGGGCAGTACAAACAAACATGATTAAGTGTCTGATTACTTAAACAGAAAACCATCCATACAACAGACTACATGCTGTCATCAAAAAGAACACAGTATGCTGCCTTGGAAAGGCATCCAGGGCGGTGTGTCAAGTAAAGAAAGCCATAGGGACACCTAACACGCACTCACTTCTGAATCCTCTTTAAATAAAAGCGTCTGTGAACGCATAGGAAAGACACCTGCAAGGACACACTCAACGCAAAGGGAAGCTACCTCTGTGCCTAGGGCTGGGCTGGAGTTATGCCCAGGTGAGACACAGGTATTTTTAAGGAAAAATTAGTGTAAGAAGAATGACAATTTCAGCAAGTGGACAATGTCACAGTAACCCCCTTGTGGTGACAGAGGGCCTAATGAGCACACAGATGGTCAACACGGGGCGTGTGTTTAACTCAGTATGCGTGTGTGCACACACATGTACACAAGAGATTCTGTCCAGATGACAACCCCCACTAGGAAAACTAACTTTCAAACTGGAGAGAAACTAACCAAAAATCCCGTCGCTGGGGAGCAGTACTCAGAGGCATGCGCTCGGACTCCCATTGTCAGGAGCACGACACCTGAGGCTGTGGCAGCCTGGCTGGGACATACCTGTGGGTGGTGGCAGCACCTGCTGTCTCTGGAAGGGGTCCACTTCCATTGTGCTGCCTGCCGCAGCCACCAGGGTCCCTGTGAGTGCTTGCTGTGGGGAGAATGGAAAAGCGAGACTTGAGACGGGAAGTGTGTCACTAGAGAGTGCCGACTGAAACGACCACCATTATCCGAGCCCCGACCTCCTTCCTCTGTGACAACAAGAAGTGATCTGAACAACAAAGAGCACCGCCACGCTGGCCTATGTCTCCTTACACATTCTGATAGTTGAAAGCTCTAACTTACCTGTGAAGGAGATAGAAAGGACTTGCAGTGAATATATGAAGCGGGCTTTAAGTGGAATTTCAAACCAATGCAGATCTACAAACTCTCAGAAACTAGCTGGCTTTGCACATGAAGTGAGAGTAGAGGGCCACTGAGAAATCAAGGAGCCGGGCAGGCCTTCATATCCGGAAACAAATTAAAACAAAACCACGCAACACACAGAAAGTCAAAGCAGGCTCCCACTGGAACCAACAGTCAGACTCCAGCTCCTAACACTCTAACTGGGACCTTCAAAATAGTACCATTTCTGCAGCTAGCACACTACTGTACTCACATATGAGAGGTAACACAGGTCATGGTCACTCGACACATGCAGGCACAAGGCCATTGGTGTGCTGCTTGGAAAAGCAAGATGCCAACGGCTCTGGGGCAGAGCGACCTAACCCTGGGTCCGTCCCTGCACTCAGCCCTTTTTCACTATAACCAGGGCTACACCGTGCTTTCAGGGCTGCACCACACCTCCTTAGTGAGGCACGCCCGACACAGATCTCACAGATGCCAGAGTCACCACCGCACACCTGCTGTGAGCCATTTGCCCCTGGGAGAACACAGGAGGTCAGAAAGGGCCGTCAGCTAGAACACAGGGCACTTGGCACGGCAGCCCCCCATCTGTGGTTAACAGAGATGAAGGGGTGAACGAGGAGAAGGAGGGTGGGAGGAAGGAATGACTGGGGGACAGACACCAATGTGTTGATGGTGGTCATACCGGGGGCAGGATTACTCTGTGTGTCTATGTGTGTCTCACACGTGCGTGCTCTTCTGAACTTTCCTAATGTTCTTAATGGACACACATCCATTACGTAATCAAACGAAGCTTTTTTTCAGTAAAAATAATAAATAGATCAATAAACAGTTCTGCTTCCAGCGATGGTCAAGCACTTTGCGCGAGACAAAGCACCACAGACAGCCACAGCCTCCACACAGAATCCAAAAGGTACTGAAAGACTGCAAACAGAGGCAGGGAATCGATACCCGCAAGAGGGGAACAAAGTGAGATTCCTGTTTTCCGCCACACTTGGCGTGAGGGCAGGCACCACTCTCTAACACACTGGTCAGCTAAAGCACAAACACCAAATCTCGCCGAAGAACAGGGAAGGCAGGTAACCATAGCAATGAGAAAGTGAAGGGAATCGTCAAAAGGGCAGAGGGGGGATGCCCCACACACTCGAGAGTCTGCCAAATTCCTGGCTGACTCCTACACCAGGCCCGCACAGGGCCAGCTCCAAGCCAGGCCAGGGGAACCAGGCCAAGATCTGAGCTCCACCTAGCACAGGGGAGACAGGGTTTCATCTTCAGTTCAATCAAGTCAACAAACTGCTAAAGCCAAACAATCCACACTCTCTAGAAGAACAAAACAGGGTGCAGAATCTCTACAACACATGGCTCACAATGTTCGGGATCCAACCCAAGATTACTCCAACATACAAAGAAAGAAAACAAAACCCAAGCCACGCTCAACACACACGAGACGACCCAGATCACGGAACCAACCGTCAAGGATGGTGAGGCAGCTTGAATAATCACGTCCACAGACATAAAGAAACAAGTTTGTAACCAAGGACGTCACTTTCAACAGAAAAAAAGTAGATACTGTTCTAAAAGAATAATATGGTGATTCTAGAACTGAAAACTAGAATATTTGAAATAAAAAATTCATTGGATAGGCTTAATAGCCGACTGGACATGCAGAATAAAGAATCAATGAACTTGGAAAAGATTCTTGAAAAGGAACAAAGTTGGAGGACTCAACTTCAAGGCTCACTCTGATGCCACGGTAATAAAGTCAGTATGGTCCTGGCTTAAGGACCAACAGACAGATGTAAAGATCCAAATGGAGACTGTAGACACAGCCACACTCACAACCAGGGGCTCTCCCACAGAGGCCACACAGCAATCCAATGGCAAAGGGAGTATGTTTTCAGCCAATGGTGCTGGAAAATTGGATCTTCATGTGCCAAGGTTTTCCTCATTAAAAAAAAATGTTCTGTGCATCAAAAGACGTGGACAGAGAAGACCACACCCTCTTTTACTTCTGCCTGTTGCTACACGTGTTTGCCCAGAGGACAGAGACACACGGGCTGTGGTTTCAAATGTGTTCTTGACGGAGCTCTCTCTGCTCTGTGGAGCACGGAAACTCCTCCGGTTATCTGTCGGTGGCTGGTACTTAGTTGTTGTCTGCAGAACAATTTCTACCTTGCACTATATCGTGAGTGTTTTAGTGGGAAAGACACTATTGTCTTTAAAATATGCACTTGATTTTAACTGAAAATCATCATTAGAAATCCTGAAAACAGAAGACATTTTTCACAAAGCAAGCACTACTCTGTGCTAAGACTCAATTCTAGGTGCTCATTTTGAGAGAGAAGATGCCAAAACAGGCTTTACCTATAGAAGCTGTAACAGAATTTCAGGATGTCTAGAAACCACACCAAGAAAAAGACCAGTTGAAGGAAACAGAGAGTAACAGGGAAGACAACTTAGGATGTGCCACCTAAAAATGTTTTTCTGAAGCAAAGAATTAAGGCTAGTAGTGGCTAGTGCTTACTGCCCAACATCAACAAACAGGCAAATAAATATACAAATGTTAAAAAACTGGAACTTTCCAACCAAGGAAAATGCCACTTCCTGAGACGGGGTGCTCTCCCCCAAAGTACAGAAGGGCCAGAAAGGTGTAGGGTGACCATCTTTCTGAGTATCTCAACAGAACTAGGACTTTGGACTAAATAACCTCACATCTCTTTTAAGTCAGGATTCCGAAAGTTTGACCTTGGGCAATGGTAAGTGAGAAGGCGCCTGACAGTGCAGTGGTTAAGCACATGGCTGTTAACAGAAAGACCAATGATTTGAATCCAATGTTTCTGTGGAAGAAAAGACTTGGTGACCTACTCCTGTAAAGACTGCAACTCAGGAAACTCTATGGGGCAGCTCCACTCCATCGTGCGGGTCGACAGGAGTCGGAACCAATGGCACACACCACCACCACGATGGTAACTGAGAGCAACTCTAAAAGCACAAACCAAAAAACCCATGCCTTCTTTTTAAGTATATTAAAACAAGTGGGGATACCACTTCACAGCTCTAAACTTTCAACAAAACACATATGTAATGCGACACAGAAAACAAAAATTGGGTCAGAGTTACAGAATTATAATAGTTATTCACTTTCTCTAACCTCAGAATCCCTGGAAAACAATCTCCAATTAGGGTGGCTTTTTAAGAACTAAATACCTATGATCACACAAGCATTATTCTGTATATATAACTACACTGACCAAAGCCTCTTGGAAGCAGACGAAAATAATACACACCCAAAGCTGAGGACTCTGCACTTATTTCTAGAGTGAATCAGGAACAGACGCCATTTATGATACAAATCCTGCAACTGATCACAAATAACACAACTCATCCTGTGAAGAAGTCTGAACCCCTGAATTCCATCCACACCAAGGTGGGCTCCGTCCACACCGAGGCAGACTCCAGGCACACTGAGGCAGGTTCCATCCACATTGAGGCGGACTCCATCCACGCCAAGGCAGGCTCCGTTCCCACCAACACACCAACATACCGTACACGGGCTCCGTGCACAAGACTCTATCACA